GCGAGGTGCCCTGCATATCTGTTTGTCTCTGCACAGATTTCTTTCTCCATACCTGTTTAGCTATTCTCAGGTGACAGTAAGAAGTATATCAAAAATCAGGCCAATGTAGCAAATAGAAGGGGCCAGAATGGCTTCCGTTTGCTAACTGTGAACAATGCTTGCTCGGGGGATCCTAATGAGCCCGAACAGGTACTTTACCTGAGCCATCTTCTGCTCATATTATGCCAGGGTATGCTACTGATACACTGGTAGAATAGCTGTCCTACCTGGTACATGGTCAATCTGGGAGGTGAGGGGGAAAGAACAGAAAATAACAAAAACAGAAATAAAAATGCTGGATTAGGCTCAGGAGATCTGGACTCCAGTTCACACTAGGGGGACTTTGGGCTGGTCACTCACTCTCAGCTAACCTACCCCAAAGGGTTGTTGTTATGAGGATAACATGGAGAGGAGGAAAGCCTTGTAAGCCACTTTGGGTTCTTTGCAAGAAGACTGGTGAGATACAAATGCAAGACGGTGATGGTGATAGATGGAGAAGGAGATGATGGGGAATGAGATGGAGATGGTGGTGGCAAGAGACATTCCTCTGCCCAAACACGCAAGTGCATGCACACACTTCCCCATAAATGCTGCCACCGCCCACCCACCGGGCTGCTCTGGGGGTGCCACGGCCCTGGGGCACAGCCAGCATTTGCTCGGGGCCGCCAATTCCCGAGCATCCCTACAAACAGAGTTTGCATCTCCTTGTTTATTAAACGCATTTCCACACTGCCTTTTAGCTGAAGGCTCTCAGAGTGTTCAGTGCAACACTGAAAATACTTCAACCCACAGACCTTTCCAGTTTACAAACTTGGGAGCAGAGCAGTGCAGTTGGGAAGACAAGCCACGATCAAGTGGCGATAAAGCCCGTGGCGCAGTGGTGGGAGTGGCAAACTGGTTCCCGCTCGGCCATGAAGCGCCCTGGGTGACTCTGGGCCCGTCACTGACTCTCAGCCTGAACTACCTCACAGGGCTGTTGTGAGGATGCAGTGGAGAAGAGGACTATCTGAGCCGCCTTGGGTTCCTCGCAAGAGGGAAAATGGTGAGATATCACTGTAATGAAATTACACAAATGAATGGTGACAGGACATGAACAACAAATCAAAGTGCCTCACTGTTCACCAAAAGGCAGGGAGCCAAAACGATCCCCGGAAAGGCCATGTCCCAAGCCCCCCATCTCACTTCATTTGATGCAGGGGCATAAAGAAATGCGTCATATTAAAACGATAAGATCTGGACGGGCCCCCATGGAAACAGGGACCCACACAGGTCCCCAACAGCGCATGGGCCCTGTTTCATGTGTGAAGCATGAACAACAGTAAGAAAAAGAAGAGGCACAGTACAGAGTTGAAACATGTCCCAGGGCACAACATCTTCGGAGAGCCCTTCCAAAGAAGTCTCCAGGGCCCATGCAAGCTGGGAAGGGCTCTTGCCAAGCTGCCAGAGGAAGGGGCCAGGATACCCCATTTGCCGCTTCCGGAGAATGAGAGAGGAGGAGGCACAATCTGGCATGCAGGTGGCCAACTTCAGCATCTGAATAAAACTTTCTATATAGACCTCCTTGGTTGCTTCTGTCATTCAAGCAGAGTGACAAAGAGGAACATTTTTCTTCAGTATGCTGACGAAAACAAATACAACGAACCAACAAACAACCCCCCAAAACCAACACACCCAATACCTTTCTTACACTCATACTTGTTCTCATAACTTACCTGCTCTCGCACCTCATCTTTTCCTGCCCTCTTTCCCCATCCAGTTATTCCTACCTGCCCATCAGTTCCTTGTATCAGAAACCCAACAGATAAGGGGTTGCCCCAACAGTGGGGGTGTTTGTCGGTCGCTAAAGTTTGCACACATGTAAGACCGCCATTGTGGTGACTTCCCCATGGCTGTGGCCAAAGCATTTCTTTAGGCTTCGTGGACGTGGCTGCACGTGGTCAGCAAAGGACTGAAGTGTGGACCACTCACCATCACGGGAGGGGACTGAGGATCAACAGGGGAAATAGATCCTCCCCCCCCCCACCCCAAGTGCAGCCAAAGCTCACTTCTCTACTTTAAAAATGAATGTGCTGAAGACTTGACATATTATAAAAGTTCGTTCTGTCGATGTTCTTTTCTGTGTGAAAATGACTGGCAACTATTTCCTCAAGAAGTTATTTTCTGGAAAAGCAGTGAGTGCAGCAAAGATCCAATCTGTCTTCATAAAGCAGAAAAATAAAGCAGCAAAGACAGTTGGAAGACGAAGAGGGCGCTAAAAAGGAAGGGCTAACTTAAGTGAACAATAGTTCAAGTTGAGAATTTCGGTTTGAACTTATTTGGACATATCAAGTACTATCTGGAATTATACTTGCATTGATTTACCTTTATTTCATTTCATTGATTTACCTTTATTACTGCCAATAGCCAGAAATTGTTTTGGGTGGTTTATGAAGAATAAAACCTTAGAAATACAGTATAAAAACCACAAACATCGAAGATGCCAAGGCATTTATACATCTACGAACAACTTTGAACAAGGATCATTCAAATCTGATCCAAACCTCCCTGGAGACTCCCAGATGCCTGAGAGAAAGAGGAGGTCTTAACCACGGGCTGAAAAGATAGTAATGTTGGTGCCAGGTGGACTTCATTGGGGTGATCCTTCCATAACTGGGGGCCACCACCAAGAAGCTCCTCTTCCTCATTGCTGCCATCTGAATCAAAGGAAACACCTACTAATAGAGGGCCTAAGATGGCAAGCGTAGAGTACAGGCATACATGCATGGAGAGATTCTCCATCAAGCACGACAGCTCCACAACACATACAGCTTTATAGGTTAAAGTCAGAACTTGAATAAAACTCAGAAGCATACAGGTGGCTGGTGCAAATGAGCCAGCATTCCGGCCACTGCTTGCCATCTGGCCACCAAGAGAGCCATTTCTACAGGCGGCCTCCCCCCACGCAGCACATTACAATCATCTAGCCTGGACGTTCCCACAGCGTGAGCAACTGAAGCCTGTCCAGGTAGGGGCACAGCTGGACCACAGCTGGTGTGACCATTCTGGGCCAGTCTTAGTCACCAAAGTTGCCTCAGGTGACAAATACAGCAAATACAACACACAGGGGGAAGGCAACCCCCCTGGAAGATGCCATCCAGTCTGGAAGAACCACCTACTGACAGCATCTCGGTCTTGTCTGGACTAGATTTCAGTTTATTGGCCCTCAGCCCATCTATTGTTGTACCCAGGAACCAATCCAGTACTTCCAAAGCATCTCCTGATGAAGAGGAAGAAGAGGAAAAGATCTGGGTGTCACCTGCATACTTAGGACAACACGTTCCAAAATTCTAGATGACCACAGTAATTTGTTTCATGTAAATGTTAAATACAATGGGTGAGAAAGCAGACCCCACCGGAATGCCATACTCATTTCCCAAGTATTTCTGGAGCAAACCCTTCAAGAAGAAATGAGGGCAATGCTTTGCTTTGCTCCCACTCCCAACGCAGACTGTTGACCCAGAAGGATACCATGGTCAGTGACACCAAAAGCCACCAAGAGATCAAGGACAATCAACACAGCCACACACCCCTGTCTCTCTCACGGCATAGGTCTCCATGCAGGGGAACCAAGCAATTTCCATGCCAAAACCTAGTCTGAACTCTGATGGAAATGGAGCAGCATAATCACTCTCATAAAAGAGTGTCTGGAGCTAGCTGGCAACCACATGTTCAAGAACCTTAAAGAACCTGCTATATGTAATAACAGGACTTCATGTTACGTACAGCTGTTAGAAATAATTTGCCTTTAAAGGTCAAGGTAAAGGTTTCCCCTTGACGTGAAGTCCAGTCATGCCTGACTCTAGGGGGCGGTGCTCATCTCCGTTTCCTAGCCGAGGGAGCCAGCGTTTGTCCACAGACAGTCTCCATGGTCATGCGGCCGGCATGACTAAACACCGAAGTGCACAGAACGCTGCTACCTGCCCACCGAAGTGGTACCTTTTCATCTACTTGCATTTGCATGCTTTCCAACTGCAAGGCTGGCAGGAGCTGGGACAGAGTACGGGAGTTCACCCTTTACGGAGATTTTTTTTCCAGTGGTCCCTCTAGAGCAGCCCTCTTCCATCCTGGCATTCTCCAGATGCACTGGACTATAGCTTCTGGGAGGGGTAGTCCAAAACATCTGGACAGCAGCAGGTTGGGGAATGCTGTTTGCATTACAATCCTTCATTAAGTATACATGTACGGCAGACTGAGAAGAGATCCATGGTTACACTGTCACAAATCAAACCCGATACCCGGAGCAGTCTATCTCACAACATTTCAAACACAATCACAAGTTCAGCGGCAAGCCATCAGGCGATAATTTATGCGTCCTTGTGCTTGACAGAATGTGTGGTAGCTCCCACGATGATTTGCAGTAATCAGACCTGGCCATTTCACATCACAGCAGCAACACGATTTCCTTCCCTGCTCCCCTCCCCACCCCCTAAACTATACCGCCAGCATGAGGAACGCTTGGAGTAACTAGGAATGGATTTGTGCATGGAAAGACCATGCTTAGGTGCAGAATCACTCGATTCTAAGGGCTCTCTTTTCCACCAACTTCCAGTTGGTGCATTTGGGGGTTCTAGTGACCCATCACCACCACCGTCCACCCAACTTCTGCTCTTTTTAAAATTCTCAGCACGATTCCTCCAGAGACGGCTCCCTTATCATGGACCCAAGAGGAAGCAGGGGGAGCCGTGCCATAAGTCAATGGTCAGGATTTACTTTCTGGTTCTGGCCAGCGAGGAGGTGAAGTGTAACCATATTGCAGCATTCCACTTCAATCAATATATTTACAGTCAGGGAGAAGATTCAGGATCCCTCCAGCTTCAAGGATAAAATAGCAATACGGCAGTGCGCTGCAGCTGACTGGTTTTATTGGTTCTCATAATTGTCTCTTATTAATTTGTACTCTGCATAATAAAGTAAGCACTCACCTTCACAGTCTGCCCAGCTTCAGGACCATCCTGTAGACAAGGAGGAAGGGATGGGAGGGGAGGGGAGGGGAGGGGAGGGGACGGGAGGGGAAAAAAATGAGGTTGAGCTCAGAGCAGCCGAGGAGGCTCTCCTGGGTATTCACAAATATCGCCCATTAATAATTTAAATCCAATTTCATTGCGCATTAATTTATAGCACTCTCGTGGGCATGATTTGGCGCCAAAGCATTTGGGAACAGACACCTTGCTATTTCGGGTCCAGAACAAATGGGAAATGGAAGGTTGACGAGGAAGAAATGCCGACACATTCTATTTCCCCAGACCTCACTGTTTCATATCGCAGATGTTCCCAATAACATTAGTGCTTTGATGGGAAAGATTGATGGGTACTATTTATAAGGCGAGGTAGTTATTGGCAGACACGCTATGGGACAGTGGCTTTAACCGTGCAACCTCAACAGAAAGTCTCAGGGGGCCAGCGGTCTTCCCAGTGACATCTCCAAAGCCATGTGGGGACAGCATTCTAGTTGGAGCGGGCAGGGAATTCTCCGGAGCACTAACATTTACTGTGAGGTTAAAACGTCAAGAGCAGGAGGAGAATGATGTAAGCTGCTCTGAGTTCTTTAAAAAAGGTGGGATATAAATCAAATAAAGAAAGAAAGCCCATTTAACTTTAAACTCAGGGCTAAATTGAAAACTATGGAAACTTGATGATGTGAGCCGCCCCGAGGCTTTGGCGAATGGGGCGGCATAAAAATGTTTTAATAAATAAATAAATAAATAAATAAATAAATGCCTTAATTACGTCTGAAGGCACATGGACTCCTGTATGTGTATTGTGTGTATTACCAGATCATGGTTATAGAAGGAGGCACACAGTTTCAGCCCTGGGCATCCCCTTTCATGCATTTCCTGAAAGCCTGAATGGAAGTGGCTTTGACTAATGCTGGTGGAGAAGCTGGAGAACGTAAGTGGTCCATCTAACAGCATTCTGTTCATATGGTGGACAACTAGCTGACCATTGGATCCTACAAGCAGTAAGGGCAACCACCCAAGAACACCCATGTGGGTGTTCATATGCTCACCACCTCTGCTTATACGGAGGGAGCAAAGAGCCATCAGGACTAGCAGCCATTGATAGTTTCCTCCTCCATGAATTTTAAAGCCAGCCAGACTGAGATGCAGTCATCACCTACAGGGCAACGGCCAATTAGTACTTGCAAGCAGGGATGGAAGATACATTCGCAATAGAGTCAAGTGACTTTGAGTTCTGTGACTCCAACCTGTGGATCCCACAGAAAATGAACTTTTCCAAGTTGTGCCATTTCTGCCAACTTGCAGACTAATTTTTTTAACTTCCCAGAATTGTACGCAAAGTTGACTATATGCAAAACTATGGGTGTCACTAGAAAATATGCTAATATATATGCCATTAAGTGCCCCCTCTACAGCATTTTATACATCTCTGATCTCTCTTAGGCTTCTCCTGTGTGCTGGTCTTTGCATGTGCATGCGCAATCTTAGGCTTTTGCACATGCATGCGCAATCTGCTCATCGATTGCACTCTAAGCTAAGAAGAATACACAGGATGTTACAGGCCAATGGAAGTGATATAAGTTTTTATATAAGTTATGTAATTACACCCGTTCCAAACAGGGTGGGAGGGGAACATGAATAGGTCGATGTGGGGGCAAGGTGGGGCCATCTCAGAAAGAGAGATGGGTTGGATTCACAACATTGTTGCTTTGTGGGCGGGCAGACCTACTTGACGCACATCAGTCACCATGACGGACAAAAGTTTCCAGGTGTACAAGAGTCAAAATAATGTTCAAGGTGTTGTTGTTGTTAGTCGCGAAGTCGTCTCCGACTCATTGCGAACCCATGGGCAACATTCCTCCAGGTGTTCAAGGTGTACAGGAGTTGAAATAACAATCAGAGATGGTTGAACTCTGTGAGATTTTCCTTAGGTTGATGTGGGATTTTTCTGGGAATTTCTTGCCTGAATCTGACATCTCAGAATGGATTGTCCCTGTCTCTCATCCCAAAGCCACCCTGAAAACAATCCCCCCTTCTTTTCCCTTCCTTTGTTCACAGGGGAGCGTGAGTGATGGAGTCGTAGTGATGCAACAGAAGAGGTAAAGGGAATCCTTCCTACTTTTTGGTTACATAGAAGCACAGCGAATCAGAAGGGCTCTCCCGGGGGCCATCTTAGTTTGACCCCTGGCTCCAGCTGGATCCACTCATGTAATACTGAACAACCTGTAACCTGTTTCACTCCCCTTTGTCACCTGGACTAACTGATGGATGATGGTGGCCCATGGAGACTGTAACTCTTTCAAGTGTCTGGGTGATGGAGCGGCAGGGCAAAACAGGGTAATCTAGATAGTCTGGGCTCAATAGATTTCTTGCCCTCTTCCATTCCACTGATCAGAAGCAGACTGAGGGTCCCCCCAGCCCTGGACTTCCACCACTAAGACAGACGACAGTTGGTGCATATCCGTTAACTGCTAATGAAATCTGCACAAATAGGCATCTGGAAACAAACCGTGTGGCGTGAGCATGATTTGTGGAAAATTGACCTATTCAAACAAATTGTAATCTGCATGAATCAGCCTATTCAGCAGAAATCACTCTAGTGCCATGTGGTTTCTGGCTGCTTCTTTGCACAAATTCATTAGCGGTTTAAAATTAGCATCTTGCCAATCACAGTTAGTCTTAGAAATGGAGGTTTGCAAGCTGGCTGTACTTGCACCACAGCAAATCAGTGTTGAGGCAGGACTAGTGAAGTGGAATCCAGGTGGCCAGATTATTATAATCCAGTGCCCCCCATTGGATTTTTATGTATTTCTAAGGAGAGAAGGGAGAAAACAGTGGAGGAAGAAGCCAGCAATGAAGGAAGAGATCAAAGAGTGAGGACAGGGACTAGTGGAAGCCAGAAATTCCACGCTGAGAAGAAATGAGCAGGAGAGGATATTTGGGCCCTGGAAAAATCACTTGTTGTTTTGAGTTTGGTTTTCTGGGCCCTTGAAATTCATTCCTGCACCCTGTTCAAAATAACTCCACTAGTTTTCAGGGCAATCATACTGCCCAGTGGGACACAGTACCATGTATGCCACGTACAAAATCAAGTGTGAATGCATCCTTCCAACTCCTCAAAGGCATCCCTGCAGTTTGCATTGAAATTTCCATCCATCTCATAGTGCTTGCCTAATTGTTTCCAAAGACACTGAATTAATTATTTCATTCCCCCTTCCCCCACACTAAGGGCAGCTACAATACTGACTTTCTGTTGACTTGTTGTGATAGTGAATCTCATCACACAGGAAACTGCAGATCATATGTACCATTCTGTTGTCCTGAGATCCATATTTTGTCAATGGATTATAGGACAAGGCAAAACGATTCTTCTGATGGTAAGGGATCCAGAGTAAATGCATTTACTAACCTGAACTGATATGGTGAGTGAAGTCCCACCAAAATGTTGCTCTACCACATTTCCAACCAGCTGTGTAGTACAGAATAAATCAGCCACTTCTTCAGGGCGCAGGTCACGGAAACGTTCCACAGGACGGAGAGGGCAAATGAGAACATCTGGTTTGGATAAAGTTAAGGCACAACTGCACGTTTGGGTAATCCATCATTTACTAGTTTGAGAAAGATATACAGCCTGTTGTTTGGCTGGATTTTGGATATTATTATTATTATTAGAACACTTCTATGCCGCCCCTTGCCGAAGCCTCGGGGCGGCTTACAACATAATAAAATACAATACAATACAAAAATAACAATATAAAATTAAAATTAATTATATATATATACACACACACACACACGATATAAAAGAAGTTATAAAAGAAAAGAAAATAAGTCGCCCTGGCCAGATAAATAAGTAAATATTGTTAACAATTAAAATGACATTTAAATAAAAAGGTCTTCACCTGGTGCCGAAAATCAAATAACGACAAATATCGGATAGCCCGATATTCCAGCAAGAATCATTAAAAGAGTTTGAAAGAAAGGAAATTAAAACAAACATTGCACCATGGAATAAAAATCACAAATTACGCTGGTCAGTTAGAATGTTTCTGTTATTGGATTTTCTCACCAAGAGTATCATACTGTGTCATCTTGAAACACTTAATTTTCCTCAAAATTCTCAACTCTATAACGTTTGCTAACAATTTTATAGCTGCATCTGCACTGCCATCGACAACTTCAATAAACTGAAGCTCAATCCAGACAAGACGGAGGTCCTGTTGGTTGGCGGATCGGGCTTCGGGGAGGGTGAATTGAACCTAGTCCTGAATGGGGTTGCACTCCCACTTAGGGACAAGATTCGCAGCTTGGGAGTGCTCCTCGAGCTTTCACTGGAAGCTCAGGTGACAGTGGTGGCTAGAAGCGCTGTCTTTCAGCTTCGGCTGATCCATCAGCTGCGCCCCTACCTGGAGTACGACTGCCTGGTGACAGTGACACACACGTTGATGACTTCCCGACTTGACTTCTGTAACGCGCTCTACGTGGGGCTGCCCTTGAAGACGGTCCGGATACTTCAATTGGTTCAAAATAGAGCTGCCAGGCTGCTGACAGGAACTGGGCATTATGTTCCCATGACTCCAGTCCTCCGTCAGCTTCACTGGCTTCCCACTGAAGTCCGGGCCCAATTCAAGGTGTTGGTGATGACCTAAAAAGCTCTTAACGGGGTCCTGGTTACCTGAAGGAGCGCTTACGTCCATATATGCCTGCCCGCCCCCTGAGATCTGCGGGAGAGGCCCTTCTCCAGGAACCCTCCGTGAAGGAAATTAGGAGGGTGAGTACTTGGAGGAGGGCTTTCTCTGCAGTGATGCCCAATCTATGGAATGCATTCCCCAGAGAGGTCCGCCTGGCGCCGTCGTTATTTGTTTTTCGGCGCCAGGCGAAGACCTTTTTATTCAAATGTTATTTTAATTGTTAATATTATTTATTCATTTTATTCTTTGGCCAGGGCGACTTAATTTATATTGTTAATTTATATTATTCTACAGAAGTTTATTTATGGTTGTGAGCCGCCCCAAGGCTTCGGCGAATGGGGCGGCATAGAAGTCTCCTAAATAAATAAATAAACAAACTTCACCCAAACAGTCCTGTACTCACACGTTGTGTGATCTTGATGGGAACTTGAAAGCCTGGCATACCTGGATGCTCAGCACCTATGGAAGGAAGAGGATCTATGCATGATTACTCAGAACATCTTAGACAAAGATTTGGTTTCGGAGTTCTCAATTTCATAAATGACAGTGAGCAAAGGAGAACATTTGGTCAGCAGATCTATGCAGAAGTTCCACTGAGTTCAACAGGACTAATTCCTAGGTCAAGATTTAGAATTTCAGCCCAGTGACAACCAGTATGGTGCAGTGATTAGTGTGGTGAATTGCGATCCAGGAGATCTGGGTTCTACTCTCCACTTGACCATGAAGCTTTCTGGATGACTTTGGGCTAGTCACTGACTCTCAGCCTAACCTACCTTGGGTTTATTACAGGAAAAATGGCAGAATTTAAATGTAAAATAATTAAATAAACTGAGCTGTAAAAATCAGCTTTGAACAGCTCTATCTGAAGTGGGCTAAAGTGTCCAAGACTTTGGCAACAGAAAGGCGGTTCAGAAAGCTCACCACATATACATAATTTATGTGTAAATATTAAATACGGCCAAATATATGAGCAGGATAAATTCATGTTTTGAAGCAGTGAATTAAAACTACATGGTAAGTAGTATGTAGGGATAGACAAATCTGTCAATTTCATTTTTCTTAGTTTCCCTTTGTTCTCTGTCAAGTTGCGTTCACCCAAAGTTGAGAACGTTTCTTTCCTTCAAAATGCTTCCATGAGAATTTATACTTATTTTCAAATGCAGTTTTGCCCAATGTACAAAATTTTGCAAGCATTGCTCCAAACAGAATGCATTTTAATACAAATTTTACTGATATATGCATGTTGTGTGCTATTTTCACCCTGTGGATTTGTGTATAGTTCTATTAACAGGAGAACTTAATTGAAAGAAATGTGAATTTTAACAGAAACCAAGCTTTGACTGTGACTTTCAAGCTTTGGGTTTGAAAGAGTAAAATTAGGCAAGTTCTTCTTAAAATATGACGCAAACAAACGTCTTCCCCTCCCTTGCATTACACAGTCTCCAGAGTCAGGGGTGAAATTTCAGCAGCTTAAAGCACGTTCTGCCGTACACTGGATTGTGGCCACTGATTTAATTGGCTTTGTTTATTGATGATACGTTTGGGTCATCCAAACAGAGTTTCTAAGTGGTGGTGATAATGATAACGATTTCCTATTGGAAGATTAAAAAATGAGGAACCATACTGAACAACTGGACATTTTGGATGAGGGATTCCAGGAACCGTGAGTTGAAATGCTGGAACGTGAGGAATGCTGGAAGTTGAGATGTCTCTGAGAAGGAGCTCCCTCCAAACTCTGCTGCCTGCTCAGCTCTTGTAAATCCAAGGCTGTGGCTTCCGTTACAGAGTCAACCCATCTCCTGTTTGGCTACACGTCTACTCAGATGCAAGTCCCACTGTGTTCCGTTGAGCTTCCTGCTAAGTCTGTGGGTTTAGGAGTGCAGCCTTAGTACTCACTTACCACAAGATGCATGTAAGATTGTGCTTTTAGTGGTTTAAAATGCCATCTATGGCCATCTATGCATATTTCCCATGGAACAGGATCCACTGGATACAGTAAGACATCTTAGTAAATTTTCTCAGGGTTTCTTATCCGGGATATATGGATGTACATTTGTTTAGCCTAAGAGGTATTAGAAAACAATAAGTTGATTTGCAGATGGGATTTCTTTTTAGCTTTTGTGCAGTTATTCCTCGGCCTGCAGCAAAAAGAGCTTCAGGGTTTAATAAAACTCCAGTCATTTCTTTGCTAGTATTTCCAGCATGCTGTAGAAAGTGCCTTCGTAATTTATGCCACTGGTTGAACCAGGAGCCAAAGGGAAAAGAGGAAAGTTGCAGTGCAGAGTTTCATACCAGGAATAAAGAAATAGGGAAACTAATTAATTTTGCTCATAAATAAGGGAAATTCATGTCAACACTAAAAAACCGGAAGCAGCACATTTGTTTAATCCAAGTTCATTTTTCAAAAGGAAAGATGGGAAGACTTTACCTCAGGGTGTCTAACACTTAAGTAGATAATTACCCTTCTTCTGCAGCAGCGCTTTATTGTTATGGGTCAGTGAACCATTTATAAATGAAGAATATATTTTCACTTACCTCTAGCAAAATTGTGTCTAACATTCAGTTTTTATTTCTTTCTTGCTTGCCTTCTTCAGTAAAAAGTCTTTCAGATTTCCACAACCCTGCTCTCCTTAGATCTAAATTCTTCTTGCCTTTATGCACCATATGGAATTAGAGTCTCGGCTAGGGATGGGATTAATTTTTACCAATTTCAAATTTTATATTGTACTGGGAGTCTTTAATGAAATACAAATAAGATACTGATATGAATATAGATTATGTGAGTGAGAGGGCATTTCACTTGTTTCTTATAAACGGACAAAATCAGCAACATTGCCAATCTTGCCATTACTGTGATTGTGTGGGAAAGGATTATATGCATCCCCGCTACTCAAAACAAATGCCTGGATTCAGAATTCTTTAATTCAATATATATAACTTTTACCCAAGACTCTGGTTGGTGGCATTCACAGTTCTAGTAAAAAGTGCATAGGATTGCACTTTAAATAATTTTTTCTCTCACAGTGCCCCTTTCTAAATTTATTTTGTTTTAGTTCAGGTTTTGGCTTGAGAACTGGATTGGAATGTTTGGGAAATACCAAAGTCAGAAGCAAAGGAAGCTTCTTCTGGGAGGTTTAGAGCAATTTCTTTGTATCAGAACTCACAGATTCCTGAAGTATCTGGGATAACAAGGCCTGTGAAACTGGTGTAGCAGCAATTTCTTCATTCTTAGCATATTCATGTTGATGTATTTAAATTAGAGCACAAGACCGTGCATGGTTAGACTGAAATGTTCATGCTGGCTGGAACATGCTGGGCACTGTTCTGCTTAAACAGGCAAGGGTTGCATCTTTACTGCACCTTTAAATGTCCCAGTAACCAAAGCTCTCTGGACGGTATCAGGGGAGGAGGGCATCTGATTTCAGAAAAACGCTCAGGCAGAAAAACTCAGAGCAGGCAGGGTCGCAGGAGAGGAGACAGGTGGGCAAAAACCTGGCCAATCCAGGCAGGTCATCTGCAGTAGAGATCTTCATGGGCCCTGTCCCTTTCTTCAGCAAATGCCCCCGGAGGGGCCGGTGGCCGCCTGACGGAAGAGTCCAGGCTTCGGTCTTAGTGGGGCAGCTCTTAGGACTGCCGCTGCTTCCCAGCATGCTCACAGGGTGGGAAAAGTGAGCGAGGCCCCTCAGGACTACGGCTGAATATGCATGAGCAAAACGTTGCATGAGCAAAACTGCAAAACGTTGCAGTTCAGTGTGGTTGTCCTCGGCCCAAAAGAGAAGTTGTAAAGTCACAACTCACAAGTAAGAACGAATGACATTGGGAAAAAGAAATGTATTTAGTTTATTTGAGTTTAATTTGTAGCTC